CTGTTCTCTAAAGCCACACAGAACCATGGTACCCTGCGAATCATGATATTGCTCTTGGATGTAATCCTAAGTACCGAGTAAGTGTTAATCAATCACCTTATAAGTATTTGTACTTACGTTGACGTGTTGGTCGATGTTTTGAAGAAAGAGAAGACCATTAACATCTTGTCCGTTAGGATAGGAAAGTAGACGTTGTTTTTGGATGATTGCGGCAATCCGGTCTTTATTGCAAAAGGCAGAGTGAATCTCTGCTAATGTAGAAGCATTATACTGCTGACAAAATGCCTCAAGCTGTGGATTGCGAAGAAATTGTGCTAAGAACAACTGGTTAGAAATCACTTCTAAATCACTTACCAGATACATACCTGTTGTCAAACTTGGGTCTCGAATTTGTTGAATAATACTTTTTACCCCTTGTAAGATTCTCTCCGGTGCCTTGCTTGGTGGTGGTGGTGGATGCTTATGCACACCATGTGATGTGAATAATATATATGAACATTGATTAATATCCACAGGTACCAAAGCATTGAAAGTAACATCACAAGGTGTATGCTTCAATCGTCCTGATCCTTGAGGATGATCTCGACCTTTTAATCAGTTAATAAACAGCTAATAGGCAGTTAATAAATACTTACCACAATATTTTCGTCGGGATGATAAAGGTTCAAAAACACTACATTCTTCAGTTGCTGGCATAATCTCTTTATTAAAGAGATCTTCAAGAAACTGCAAATCAATAACTGTGTGACCTTGAATTGCCCCTCTATGATGTTTTGTTAAAACATCAGATGATTCATGTATACAGCCAATATAGGGAGCATATTCTCCGTGGACATTCTAAACTGGTTAGTAACCATTGTGAATCCATTTATTAAGTGCTTAGACAAACCATCTGGCTGTATCTCTTGAAAACTGGTTTGCATGTAGGAAGTTGGTCAATGCATGCAAGGCCCTTCTGAAAGAAACCAACTTTTGATCGATAGTAGCTATAAGCAGTTAGTAATGAGTTATAAAATAGTTAGGAATTCCTCAACTAATACCTGTATGCATTCCGCTTGCTAAGATCTGTCTCTAAGATCCTAATGTCTTTCTGAGACTTCTGAATTTCCTGCCAAATAGTCTCATCCACACAGGTGTGGTGATAAGATTGGAGAACTGGACTCAAAAATTCACAAGCATAGATTCCAGAGCATTTCCAGGTCCATTTCTTGACATGGCATTTCAAAAATGGACAGTTGACTGGTCGTTTTTGTCCGTAAAGCTGTCTTCTCGTATATTGAATCTAGAAGCAGTTAGTAACCAGTTGTGAAGCACTTAGTAAATACTTACGTCATGGGCAACCTGCTCCATTTCAAGCTGTGACCGTCCTCTCGAAGCAACAACATATGTGTACCCGTGAATATCACCTGTGGGATACTCTGGTAGGTCATCAATATATTCAATTTTTAGTGTTGTCAGGGAAGAGCTTTTAGCGCTAGTAAGTGGAATGGGAATAGCTGGTTCCTGTTTTAAATACTTAATAATCAATTACAAACCGTTTCGTAAGCAGTTTAATACCTCGTAATCAAGCTCCGACTCGAAAAATCCATCCACATCAATTGAATGATTGGAATCCATTATTGTAAAAGAGTAAAACAAGAGTAAAGTACTTGGCAACTGCTTTAAAACTAAGTTGTAATTTCTCGATTTTTTTCACAGCATTGGATAAAAGTAAAGGGAGGAGAAGAAATTGAATTTCCATGTGCGCGTGTATTGTATTTAAATGGTCATGCGAGTTGTTGTGGCTTATTAATGATCTTGGCAGTCACGTGCAGAGGGTATGTCTCATGTGAGCTCTTTGTGAAGCTCGCGTGGGCTGCGTACACAGGTAAAGTGTCATGCGAGTATCACATGATTGCTCAGGTAATTACATAAGTGGACTCCACTCACGCGACCCAAATAACGACCCCGACTCATCTGCAACCACCCTCCTGGGGGCTGGCCTCATTTCCCAGCAGTACATCATGGCAGACCCCACAATAACCCCCTTCTCACATATAGCACCCATGGAAGCATACAATGAGTCTTCCGGCCAGGGGTATACCTAGGCTGTTATTTCTCAGTCCCACTCCTATCCCGCTCAATTTCTTGAACGCGACGCGCATGTTCGGAGCCAGACAAAGAAACTGGTATCGGGATATCCCCCATCAGGCCTTCTCCTCCATTCTACCAGTAACAACCTCGCCTATCTGCCTGAGCCAAATGGAAAATCACACTCGGTCACCGGCTCAATTCCCCCCCGTGCAGAGACTGTCTCCACGCCTCCCGGACAGGAGCCCCAGGCTCAACATGGCCGACCGAATCGAGCGGGATCTCCACGAAGATGGCCTTCGCGCCTGGGGCTTTGTTATTTACCGGTGTACCTACCAGAGCAACACAGCCTGGGTCGAGTTTATGCGTCGGCTACTCGCCAATACCAAGGACACGCTGGAAAGTGGGGGGGGCCTTGATTTACTTGATAATCTAGCCCTGACCGTGATTGAAGACTCGGGAAGCTTGGACGGGGCTACTACGGCTGTGATTCGACAGCATTTTCAGCAGTGGGTGGCGACCGCAGTGCAAGAAGAACCGGGTACTACTAGCCCGGGGCTGCAGTGGTCGCAACGATACAAGTACTGTCTGCAGATTACGCAGGATGTCTTGGACTCTGTTCTCACCGATGAAGAGGAGGGGGGGTTTGTGCGACTTATTCGAAGGGACTGGGGGGAGTATGACCCGTACGATCAAGGGGAAAGGGTTGAGGACGAGCAAGAGGCGATTGAAGGGTGTACTTTGGAAGACGTGGGGTGGATGAAGGTCCCGTTCGATGGTGTGATGGTTGTTCCTTGGTATTACTTGCGTGGAGCGGGTTGGGAGACCGAGTATCGTCGTCCGCCCGAGATTGCTTCTTACTGCTAGTCGACTTGATAACGCTTTGAGGTGGCATGGGAGATGACAGTCGTTCTTTTGACTAGACCTTATCAAGCTTGAAGACGCCGAATCAATCCACGAGTTGGGCATGCTTGTCGGTTCTGTCTGGAGGTGCCCAGACGCTTTGATCAGAGACGTACCTGTGGAGGGGATAAGGTGAAGGCGGGAATGTGATAGATCGCGCATCGTGTCGTTCACTGCAGATGTGAAATGCCTTATAGTAGTTTCCGAGGGAAGATCCGTCAATACCGTGGGTCGAATTGTCGTGTCTATATGTAAGGGTAGTAGAGTATCTGCGCTGGTATAGGCGCTAATGATGCCGAGTAATATACTATTTACCGTGTCATTCTTCGTCTTATAACCTAACCTAGAAGCGGCAGATGTTTCCTATAGTGATATACCGTCGCATATCCTCCCAGAACTTCCGCGCAGCTTCCTCCTGCGACTCAACGGGGGTGGTTTCATTGATGGAGCCGGAAGCCAAGTTTGCATGGGTTCCATTTCTCTTGCTGAAAGCTGCAAGAGCATCGTTTTTTGCCTGTGAGTTGACTTGCAAATAGACATTCTTTTTCCCGTCTTTGGACTAGCCAGCGTCTAGGCGGAGTTGGTAAATGGAATCATTATCCTTTATCTGCGCTGGTGCAATGCGTTTGCCGGGGGTTTGTTTCTGGAATAGTTTTTTGTAAAGCCCTCCCTTGAAAATCGCGTCTTCAAATTGCTTCAGGACCTTGGACATCTTGTTTGACAAAGCTCTCAGGAGACGAACATAAAAGGACGAGAACAGGTTCGGTTTCCAAGGAAGCGTTGGACAAAATAAAAGGAAGAGTGCAGTGTTGAGATGTTTCTGAGGACCAAGGGCAACTGGAGATTGAAGTGTTTATATAGACCACTCTTTGCAAATCAACATCTAGGGCCTGCGACGAGCACTGCCGGCCAAACCTTGCAGGGGCTACACCTCACAGGATGGAACTATATGCGTCCTCCAGAATAGAGATAGCACCAGATTCCTCTGCGAGATTCTATTGATTCGGTGTAAACGTCCTCAATACGTTGGGCGAGTGAGTTGCGAACCAGATAGGCTTTGGGTTTAACCACCCAGATTCAATTGCCCAATGCAGGCCAAAGCACCACTTCAAGAACCCAGGCTAGCTGGCTACGACCGACGTCTAAAATAGAGCTTCGTGCGACAGGAAATAAGACAATGATTCGACAGTACATCCCGAGCTCGAGGACACTCGGCGTCACAAACAGGGTAAAATATCTGGTAATATGAGTGGCCATCAGATGGCTTGCTTGTTGGCCAGTCCCGTTTCGATTTAAATAGCTTTAAGCGCTTCAAGATCTGAGCTTGGTGTCTTGTGCCAATGCTCGCGTATTCATGAAGATTATTACTGTAGGTACAGTCTGTGTATCTACATAGCTAAACACTTGTGGGCCTTCACGGAGGTGGAGAATGTAAGGATTCTGACCGGCGGATGAACAACCAGCGCCAAGCTCCAAAGTGCCCTGCCTCATGAATTTCGAATTTGTGATTCTTGGTCACCTGACCGGAATGCAGTTCAGGATTCACTGGCGAATCACCGCACCTCTGTGTTGAGACGTGACCACTTCCCTTTATGGCTTAGCTTCCTCAATTGGTCAACAAGCATATATCTCTCTACAACCCTCTACTCTGTATGTTGCCTGGCTCCTTGGGTGGCTGGTTCAGCTCTTAGTCAGTGTCCAGTGTATCCATATTTAAGCCATGTACGAGACTCCATCATGTACCCCAGATACCAAATCTAACCACATCATGTGCTCTTTTTCAAAGAGCGATGCTGTGATTGGTGTACGTCACATGGGCCGTTCCTATTACAGTTAGTCCACCTTGTTACTGATCCGCCACGCACCTGTGACCGCAGCCAGTCAGGATTTAATAACTAATAACTGAGCCCTACCTCGATGCGCCTTTCAGTGTTGTTGACGGGCTTTGAACATACGCCATGTTGCCTTTCATGAGGACATTTAGGAAATTCCGGCAGAACCAGCCAGTCGCACAGCCGGTCGCACATATGTCAATCGTCTGCCGCGGTAATAGGGATGATGGTTGTTGCGCAGGAAGGATGTCACTAAGGTAAATAAACAGGCCAACCCATCAACCGCGAGGAACTTTTCACGTATACCAACGGTCACTTCCTCGTCAATGAGGACCATCAGTTTGCTCGGCGCTACCGGCAATTTAACCTGGACGCCCTCTGCGATATAGCCGCTACAGCTGGTGGGAGCACGTCTCGAATTACAGCCATCGAAAAGCTCGAAGGAGGGTTCAGCAAGGCTCTTCTAATGACAAAGGAGGACGGAAGTGAATTGATCGCGAAAGTTCCCTGTCGCATTGCCGGCCCAGCGTTCCTCACGACAGGCTCTGAAGTGGGTACTTTGGAATACAGTACGTGCGTCCTATCCCGCCCATGGATTCCTAAAGCGCTCACGCCTCGCATATCAGTCAGAAAATGCACGAGCATTCCTGTTCCTTGTGTCTTTTCTTGATCTTCTGATAACTCCAACCCTGTCGGGGCAGAGTATATTGTCATGGAGAAGGCGACTGGGGTTCCTTTATTTGAGCGATGGGGCAAAATGACAGAACTCGAGAAACTGGAGCTTATAAAGAATTTGACCCAACTTGAAGCTCAGCTGTCGGCTATCTCGTTTCCTGCATATGGTGGTCTGTATTTGCGCGCAGATGCGGACCGCTTAAAACATCAAGATCTTGACGGCAACGTTGATAAACAGGGCTTGTTCTGCATTGGCCCTTCGCCTGACCGCTCCTTTGACGTTGATACAGTCGCTTATATACCCACCGAGGATGACTCAATCAACAATGGGCCTTGTAAGTATCCAATGTTCTCTATCCATTCATACTAATGATTTTTCAGGGAATAGCTTATCGGATCTCGGGATATCAATTGCCAAACGAGAGCTCTCTCGGATCGCAAGGCAGGATCCAGACAACCAGTCAATGGTTCATCGGGGAAGCGCCCACGAGCAAGCAAGTCTTCTAGAGGTTACAATCATCCTGATGCGGATGCTGGACTCGCACTCAGTTCTGGCCCGATTCGCCCAGCCAACACTTTGGCACACCGACCTCCATATGGGAAATATTTTTGTTGCACCCAATAACAACTCCCGGATTACAGCACTAATTGATGTTCAGTCTCTATCAGTACTCCCATTATTTCTTCAGGCCCGATGGCCGGTGTTTCTGCAGCCCCCTCGGGATTATACTAGTGGCCTTGGTCAGCCTGTGCTCCCCGGTGACTTTGATTCTTTAGATGAAGAAGACAAGGCTGCTGCTTTACATGACCGGACGCAGGCCAAAATGGCAAAAGCACATGAAGTCTCCACCTTTCTAGAGAATAGACTCGCCCATAACGCCATGACCATGCCTCATGTCTTTCGAGAGCTCTTCATCCGCGTTGGAGAGACATCTGATGTCGGAGTTGTGCCACTGCGAGAGTGCCTGATTGAGATATTTCAAAACTGGTCGAGTCTAGGCTTTTCGGGGCATTGTCCTTATTCCTTCAGCCAGGAAGCGATAAGTTCGCATGAACGGCAATTTGCTAAATATCAAGAATGGAACGAGGTCCAGGGATAGTAATTCTTAATTATAATAGTATTCAGGCCCTAATAGTTAATATATAGTTATAGGCCACTATCTTTCTTTAGTATAAAGAGGATAGGTGCTTCTATAGGGCTTTTAGATTATCTTATCTATCTCTTTTCTAGTGCTTCTTTAATATATTTCTTTAAGACCTTTAGCTTAGTAGTAGAGAGATTATAAATTAGCCTAAATAGAGGTTATTTCCCTAGTTCTAGCTTAATAGTATGGTTATGCTCTATATTTAGCATAAGTATATTAGCCTCTATATCTAAAAAGATGTCTATAAACTTATTATACTATGCTAGTATGATATAGAGAGGTATCTAGAAAATCATAATTGCAAGGGGAAAGGATATGAGTATAGAAGTCTTCAAGGGGTCGTGGGACAGGGGGTTTTCGGTTCCTGACATTATCGCACGTGACGGAGAGCAACTAGGGAGTTTTGGCTTGGATTCAGAAATATTCAGAAATATTCTAGGATTGACGAACTACGGATCTGGATTCAAATTAGTCCTAGATGCAAGGATCTCATATTTCGGCTGCATTAGTGCTCGTCAATGGCTGTCGAGAGCTAGTCTATTCAGCGTATTCAGAAATCCGTTGGGGCGGTTGGGCTACCACTCCGGACTCCGTTGATGGATCTGGATTTGCGAGCAGCACAACAGTAGCAAAGTATGGGAAAGGAGACGTTATTAATCGCCAAGGACATGTGGAAATTGCGAGACGACGATCAGTAGTCCACATGGACAGTAAATCTTTCAAATTTTCTACAACTGCCTCATAGGTATGCTGAAGGTGTTGTCATCCAATGGTAGGCTGAGCTGGATGTTAGAAGATCAAGAGGAATACTCGGATGTCTCATCAGCAATCAGAGGATTAAGGATTGATTATTGCGAACAAGCGGTGTGACCTGTTAGTCCTCGAGAGCCTCATTTCTGTAGCATGAGTCATGACACCCTTGTCAGAGGCACCCAGCTGGCACAATTGTCTGGTTACCATAGCAAGCATTTTTTTTGTTGGTACTTTTGCTCACGCGAAATGGCCATGCCAGGCTGCCAGCAATTAGCCTTGAGTAGAGCAGACGCTTCCGTATGCTATATTGTCTCCATCAACGACGACTTTCAGCTATGGAACGAACAGTCCTCAGTCCAAAGCAAGAATACAAGAGCAACGGTAATGACCCAGGATGATCTCTGATCAAAGCTATCTACCTCACTAGAGGATTTCATCAAGGTGTAAGAAAGTTGCTGGGTGTGCCGTGGCAGCTTACCGAGATAAATCAGGGTAGTAAGGTCCGATGATGGTATTTTTGTTCCAGGGACAAAACCCGGAAGTTCGAAAGACCCATTTCTACTCCGTACTTTAGTTGACATCCCGGCGATTTTCAATCGGTGCCTAGGTAGATCAAGGAAGCTACCGGACACGGAACGGGACGAGGTTCCTTCAAAACAATGATCGACGTACCTATTGCTAAGAAAACCTGAAAAGGTACAGAATACCTTACCAGAGGAGTACACCGACGCCACCGAAACTAAAGAAGAGATGATAGATTGGACTGGGACAGGTTGAAGTAGAGTAGAAGGCCTTCGGCTACGACGACTTTTTTTTTTTCTTTTTTGTTAGCTTCGTCCACCCTACATCCGGCTTAACATTCTCTATGTTACGTACCTGACCTCTCATGTAAAGATATTGTTCATCCATTCGTCCCCTTGTCCATTTGTCCACTTTTCCATTCCATTTACATTGATTTGCATTTAGTTGCATCGATTTGCATCTGTAGCATACAAGCCGCCGGTAGTGCTCTGCCGTCCAGAGTCTCTAGAAAGGCCTGGCCGTCTGCCAGACAATTTCCATTCGTTGAAAGAGGCTTATATCCATGATTTCATAGCTTATTTAAGACATTAAAGATTGTCCCTAAGTCTTATTCAGATGACTAAGTAGTTATTAGTAGATAATATAGTTCACGATTCAGTCTATACTAACCTTTGCGAACACTATCTATAATATTTCTGAAGGGAGCTCCATATGAGAATAATCTATCTACTTCCTCAAAGCATCCTAACTTTATGGGGCTTGCAGCCTGACCTAAGAATGGTTGGCTGTTGCAGGGGTAACATGTTTTTTAGAGTTCAACATGTTACCCCTGCAAGAGCCAACCATTGCTGGATTGCTCATGTACTTTTGACTCCCCAAGATTTGCATTTATTCCTGTACCAATCAAATTGAGCTCGTCAAGCCACATCCCAAGTCCGTAGTAGGCTTGATGTACGGATGTAAAAAGAGGTATCCTGCTAAAGTACGCGAATACTTGGAGTTTGTCTGACACGTTCATTTCGAACCGTTTGAGGCGCAATCGTCTAAGCCCCCCCGAGCCGAATTGAGCCTACTAGTCATGAATCAAGTTGCTCAAACTGGTTGCAGCCTGGAGAAGTCGTCCAGAGGATGTCCGAGTCTCCAAAATGGTGCCATGGTGGTTGAGAGTCAGGACTATCACAGTAATAACGATCAAATCCTTTAATTTGGGGGAAACTCGGGGGTCTAAGCGAAATTCAGTAGACGACAGTGGAGCCATTCAGCAGGGGTTATCATCCCGGGAAACTGAATATGAGCATAGTTACAGATGGAATATGAGCATATTTACAGACAGGATATAGCAAATTTACGGATAACACCGTAACAAAGTGCACAGACATGCAAATGATAATGAATGATACTGTATGACATGGAAACAGAGTGTCCCGCGTCCTCAAATGTCTCTACAACACATCGACATATAAAGTCTACCACCCTCTGACAGAAAAAAAAATCCTCCATCTTGTCTGTTATTGACAAAAAATATCAGGCTCCTCCCCGTCTCCCTGACTTCTATTATGACAGATAAATTGGCAATCGTCTTGGCAATCGTCACAGTCGCTGTGAGTGTCGCGGCGGCCATTTTCGCTATTCCTCCTTTTTTGATAGGAGGCAAAACCCTACTCCCATGTTTTAGAAGGCATAGAAGTCGTACGTCCCACCAAAGACCTGCAATACATAAAGCTATTTATCTTTACCTCTAACCAAATATTTCTCGTTCAGGCACAGCTGACGAACCTATTTTGCCAACATCTTCCCATGACTGCTATAGGATGGACAATATTGATGTGCATTGCGAAGCACAACGGCTCCATTATAACTATATGCGCGGTGAGAGATACCTTTTTGAGCTTCTACTCTAGAATAAGTACAGCTAACATGTGTTGTTCTATCTTAGAATCAATCGGACTGACCGCCCTTGCGAATCTTGATCATCTATAACAACTCATTGATTTGGTTCTTTGGGTCAGGAGAAAGGCGTCGTGAGGATGAGATGACACTGTGTACATTACTGAAGGGTTCAAGGCACTCTCGAAGGTTATTGTAAGATTTAGGAGGAATTTTATGGTCACATTGATAATAATTTAGCGAGTCACTCAAAGGCGGGTGACCTGAATAATAGTCTTCAGTTCAAGCAATGGCAATCACTTAAGTTTACGAAGACCCGTAGCATCCTGAGCATCATCATTTCTAGGGAAAGTATTGTTCCCATCCCAATTGACGTTACGAGTCGACGCCTTTTGACGCATAAAGCGGTACTTCTGTAGCAGCCTCCTGTATCCGAACAGCAAGATGGCCCCAATTGCTACCGCGGCAACCGAACCAACCACAATGCCGGCGATGGCGCCACCGGATAGACCAGAGCTAGACTTTTTTGCATCTTTTGCGGTGGCCATCGAGCTAGAAGAAGTTCCCGTAGCGGTTGAACCCGCGGAAGCAGTTGTCGTGACTGCAGTGAACTCATCAGCCGTCACATTGAAACACGGCACCTGGTAGGTGAATTGACTAGTCGGCACATAGATGATATCAGCACAGGCGTAGTATGTCTCGTTCTTGGCGGCTCCGTCTTCATCTGATGTATACTTGATCTGGAAGGTTGCGTTCGACCCTGCTTCGACGTCGGCGGGCACATTAGGAACCGGGTAGCATTCATGTCCAACCTCAATATCAGGGATGCGCGTGGCAGAGATAAAGGTCTCAAAGTCATCATTGCTTAATGGGTCTGCAAAGTGTTAAGCTGGAATTTTGTACAGTTCAGAGGACAGCATACTATTTTTATGGGAAACCGCAACCTGTACATTCCATGACTCGTCTTTGACGACAAGCGCTAATTGACCATTGACTTGGTAGGACATGTTAGTGGTGAAGACTTCATACCAGACAGGTGACTCACTAAGAGGAAAATCAGTTCGATTCACTGGTCCGCTTGACGAGCCACACGGTGCAGTGTTATCGTACGCAGCGCCCCAAAGCCGATCTGGTGGCCACAGAAAGGCGACAGGGCCCATATCCTCGGCTTGCTCTTCGCCATGTCCGAGTACTATAGCGGTATATAGAGAGAGGAGAATCAAGCGTTTGTAACTCATGGCGACGTCTTGAAGAGTGAAAATCCAGAATCTCGACAGATGTGGTTCAAAAGCTCGAGCATGCGGAGATGCCATTCAGACGGGGCCTGTCCCTCAGAACCATCCGTATTATATACCGCGAATGCCGGCAGATCTCGGACGCCAATGTATATTCGAATGTCAAACCTAGAGCACAGCTAGGGTGTAATCTAAGAACGCACCTAGTTCGGCGAACGGCACGATTCTGAAATTGGTGTAAACTCCGCTTAAATCCCTCATGGCTTGATAACAGTTCCGGAGTGGGATGATGGACCTCTCATCAGGGCAATACTGTCAAGATCACTACTCATTCGCGTGCCAAGGCCGATGCCGTAATAGAATGGCTTGTGATCAAAGCAGTAACCCTGATTTGGAAGGCAAACCAACGTTCGGATCAGATAAGATCAACTGATGAGATAAGATAATCAGTGGGGCACTCCAATCATTGACAAGGTCACGAGGCCCGTGCTCTGTGCCCGCTACTGGCAGAGACTTGGCGAACACAAGGTATCCACGGTTAATTTATCATCCTACTCTAACTGGCGAGAATCATAACTATTCGGCGAGAATGTGAGACATGGCTGGTTCTGGCATTCGGAGACGAATTTGAAAATTTGCCGAAAGTCGGACCACCTCCAGTATCGTAATGACTCGGACGAAGACCAGAGAGTCATGGTGCACTTATAGGGGTCTACTTATGTTTATATGAGGTACATGGCAGCCTCTGCTGACCGACTGGTACTCAAGACTTACCATCAGTGACATAGTGTTATTGACTTACTAACGAGACTTCAAGTGAACAATGCGTCTTTTCGCTATTGGGACGATTCTCTCAATTGGCATCGGTGTTGAGGCATTGCATTATCCAGAATCTGTCCCTTTGCACCGACGCCAGGACCCAGGCACTCCGGAATATGACTGCCATGCTAATTGTGGTACGTGCCTCCACCCTCGGGTACCTGCTCGAATGCGCTCATCAATTGGCTTCACAAGGCGGTGTTATTGTTGCCAGCCGCAGCGATGGCTACTGCAGTTCCGACACATTCAAATCCGAGCTGAAAGATTGTCTGGGTTGTGCCTTGAAGTACAATATTTGGCAATACTACGGTGATTCGGTATCCAAGGCTGCCACCGCCTGTGGTCTTGAGGCCAACCCTGTCGAATCGACCTCCGCCGGAACGACTCCGGCTACTAGTCAGACTACAAGCGCAAACCAGGCAGCGAGTGGAGGAAGCTCAGTTATATCGCCGACTACAGCGGTGGCTACTGCGAGTTCGACCGCCTTGTCTTCGAGTCAATCTGCCCCGTCGCCGTATTCTACAGCAATGTCGAATTTGGTATCGTTTCCTTCGCTGAGGAGAAATCAGTCGAGAGTGCTAACCTATAGCCTAGACTTCGACTGGGGCACTACCATCTGCGACCCTCTTCCAAGGCGGCACGTCATCGTATTCTGTCAGCTGGTCAGTGCTGAATGTTATCGCTGGTGTTCTTGTAGCAGCCATGTTCTAGCAGTGCAACGCAAGAACATCCACAAGGAGAGGAGGATGATCGGTGCCACTTGCCTGTCATACAAGCTGGAGTAATATCATGAAAATATCATGAAAACTTCTTCCACTCTATATGTGGATTACTATACAAGGCAGTAGAATCAATGCGTCATCATAATCTTTTCAGTGGCAGATAGCCTTGTAGTGGGTTTCAGCCGACATTGACAACGCGTAATGGAGATAAAACTAGGACCACGTCCAATATCGTCAACCACGTATAACTTCATCGGCAGGGGGATAGAGAAAAGAAAAGACAGGAAAGAAGAAGGGGAAATAAAACTAGAGAAAGAAGATGGCAAAAAAGGTAATCAAGTTTCGGACGCCAATGGCGCCGCTGGGAATCGAACCCAGGTCGAGACGGAGCTGTGGAGATCCACAACGTCGCATGATAGCCACTACACTACGGCACCTTGATTTGTTTTGGACGCCAACAAATAGGCGTCTATGAAAATTTAAAAATTTCCTGGTCTTGTCGACAAAATAACCACCCACAGCCCGAATAAAAAAGCGATTTTTACAAGCAGAATTTTCACACCGTAGAAAAAAAATAGATTCATTAGAGTCGCTATATTGTTTAAGACATCTGACACCTACTCTTATGCAATCATAACATTAAGATCGAGGAATCGAAGGAGGGTTTGTGAAGTCAAAATGTCTCAAGCAAAGGAACTTGTTAGATTCGCTAGATGAAAAGAGATGATTTCTTGTGTGTTCCATGATCTTCTGTGTTGATTGTTGTCCGTCAGGGGCCATGGATCTAAGCGGACTCTCCGCTGGCCTATCTAAGTGCTGACTAATCTAACAGAACTAGTTAGTTATATATTTTCACCCAATCAAGCCCAAGCAGAGTAACATTTTAAATGATCACGACCCAGAATTTGTATAGCCTAAGTTCTCATCACTCAGTGATGACACACTGATATTCCAAGCCAGAATCCAAATAGCGAAGCCGACAACAAAGAATCGCCCGCTTTATGCTTCAAAGGAAGTCTTATCTTGACTGGACTGTCACAGTAGTAGAAATGGTAGTCATGCTTAGATAGGAAGTAGGACGGTAGCTGATGACTATACAGTTGTCTTTAATTAAAAGAAGGAATCAGTCCTTTCAATCTCCGGGAGTTCGAAGCAAAGTGACTTGACCGTCAAAGGGTATATGTCGCAGTGCCGAACCCGATAAGCTACAATGACTGTGAACTTTACCCAGAAGATCACATGTTCAAAGGCATGATGGCTAAATATATCAAGATCTATACAAGGTACTCCAATGCTCGAGTTGTATAATAAGCACGAATGACCTATTCAGGAATAGACCCAGACAGGATCACCAAGAGAAACTTCAAGTATCTGAGGGGATAACTTGGTGAAACTTTCAGGCTCCAGGCTGACCAATTGAGTAAAGCCTGTGGGATGTAGCAACGCTATGGGAAGGTAGACTCCTAGTAGCCATGGATGGACGGTAATGCGTATGACGCTCATTCACCATATTGGAATGGCAGGTGTTTTCGCTAGTGATTATGAGATACTGCATGGATTATGGATACTAGCTGTAGCAACTGCTGAAGAGGGCAGCATCTTTAGTTGTCAGGAAATTCCTAGTAATGTTATGCTTAACAATGGGCTAAGTTCAGATGCAGAGGTTTCTATCACAACTATTAATGTATAGTTTAATGAGCCTGCCCTATTCACTACACTGAAGAAGACGTGCAGACTGCTAGTTTATATTGGCTGTAAGGGTGAAGTGGATAGTGACGGAAGTGGCACATAGTCATTGGCGGAATGGTTCACTGCCAGCGTTGAGAAACAACCATGTTGGTTTAGAGGTGTTGGTACGCACGGGAGATGCACTAAACTTATTTCTTAAGCCGGCTCTCGTAGCGAACTAGACAAGGGACAGCTGTATCTGAAACAATGATGTGCTGCTAGTGGCTAAAGAAGAATTGACTACAGTGTTTTTAAGTACATTCGGTGTAGGTGCGAGACCTGAGAGTATATCCTGGAAAAGCCCTTGATCCTACTATTGGTAACAGAAATGCGGCCCTGCAGCATCTGTAGTGAGTCGTCCTGCATGGCAGCGTACATCTGTGTAATGGCGACATACGAGTTTCAGGGGGACCGTAACATTTCATCGATAAGGTTTTCGATCCGATGACGGATATCGTCACGGATAGGGCGTATAGATTCAAGGTTTTGCCCGGCGGGATCATCGAGTTCCCACTTGAGGTAGCGCTTTCCTGGGTAGAAGGGGCAAGCATCGCCGCAGCCCATGGTGATGACCACGTCGCTGGCCCGGACAGCATCGGTGGTCAGGATTTTTGGTTTTTGGTCGGTGATGTCAATGCCTTCTTCGCGCATGGCTTCAACAACGATGGGGTTGATGGAGTTGGCAGGGGCGGAGCCGGCGGAGCGAACCTCGATAGCATCGCCTGCGAGGTGGGTAAGGAATCCAGCGGCCATTTGAGAGCGGCCAGCGTTATGGATGCAAACGAACAAGACACTAGGCTTGCCGGTCATGATGTATCTTTGGTGTTTGATTGTGGTCGTTGCTAATGTCGTTCTCAATGAAGAACTCGTTAGGAGTTTTTTTGGCCGCCTAGGTCACTAGTAATACTTCAAGAAGCGAGACCGTGCCTTAAATGGTATTCGAATACTTGAATCTTGTCGTGGTAGATAAGGGAAGGAAGATTGACGAGTTGAAAGGGGACAGGCGTGGTTTTAAAGTTAGGAATCAGATGGTCGAGACCTATGGTGATATGTAAGCTAGTCAAGGACCTAGGACGCGCATAACAATGCTTTTGACAACTTCTTGCTGATGTTACTACAAGGCGATGCTTCTGGGTTGTATGTGGCAGGATTCGCAGGAATATGAAAATTAGCTGCCCAAAGTCCGTCCAATCAACGCCTGCTAGTGACACCTTGATGAACCTCCAGTGGAACCCACGCACCGTCCCGCATTCGCTTCCCAAGGTCAACTTGACATTCCGCAAGACCAGCAAATTCTTCAGCAACTCTCCTTTGAGTATGATGAAAGTTACTTGCCACTTCCGAATCGATCAATCCACTGTTATGATCTCATCTACTGTATGCACATATTCACCATGTGACTGTAGTAACCTATTAATGGCACCTCTTACTATGATCTACGCCTTCTTCCCATTGACACTGCTATAGAGTAGTGTTGGCCCTGATGTCAGTCACAATGTCTGTGTGTCACGCTTCTGCTCTGATTGGCTATGCTAGAGGTCTTCTTTCAAAACTCAAAACATACTCCGTATTCGATGCAAATTCAGGCCTTCGCTCGATGGGGCACAGTAAAGAAATCCATGGGTTTACCAGCCGATATCCTTCTGCTGAGTTCATGCCCAATCAACTTTTACTAGTGACATCGGACTGGAACTTTCCGCCGTAGTACTATCAAAAGTAAATGGAAATGATGAGCATGAGGAACAACAGCGCTCAGCTATATATCCTTGAACGCGTTCCCCGCCAGTTTGATTTTGAATCACAATAAATTCGATTTCTTGAGACTCCGAGCCCTTTACGCTTCTTAGAGACAAGGTCGCCTTGCCGATGTTTAGAAGAAATTCATATGAGCCACACGAACCACTTAGCGAATCAAGCCTCTTTCTTTATTGGTACCTCATACATCAGCTTTGATTCAAAAAAGATACACAGAACAACATATCACAATGTCCCAAACGCATCCGGAACGGATTCCTGACCCTGCCAACCCATTCCCAGGACAAGCTTCCGACGTGGAAAAACAGGGAGAACCGAGTTCTCCAGATGCGGCCCAAGGCAAGCAATCTGCGTTCAAGAATCTCGGCATACTCGACAGGTTCCTTGCTTTGTGGATTTTCCTCGCCATGGCAATTGGAATCATTCTTGGTAACTTCGTTCCCAACACCGGGCCTGCGTTGCAAAAAGGGAAATTTGTAGGGGTCTCCGTCCCAATCGGTGAGTACTGCTGGCGATAAATAGTGACATCCCACGTACTAATTGCCCCTCGCCAGCTATCGGCCTCCTTGTCATGATGTACCCCATCCTTTGCAAAGTTCGATATGAGAGTCTGCATCATGTTTTCCGGACACGTCAGATTTGGATACAGATTGCTTTCAGCATATTTGTCAATTGGATTATAGCCCCGTTCTTCATGGTAGGTGGATCCTTGATTATGTCGCTCATAGACTCTTGACTTACGTGAAACCGTCCAGTTGGCATTGGCTTGGGCGTTTTTGCCTGATGAACCAGAGCTGCGTCAGGGGTTGATTCTTGTTGGGCTGGCTCGTTGTATTGCTATGGTAGGCATCTCCAAGCGATCCAAAACAGGTCTAACTATCATTATGCTTCTTGACACTTATACTATCACTAGGTCTTAATCTGGACCGGATTAGCAGGAGGAGACGGTGAATACTGTGCCATCCTGGTTGCTGTCAATTCGATCCTCCAAATGGTGCTATTCGCTCCTTTAGGGGTCCTGTTTATTCAAGTTATAAGCGGCGATTCCGTCACATTCGAGTACTCTACTGCCGCTGAAAGTGTGGCTGTATTCCTCGGGATCCCCCTAGGCGCCGCAATCCTCACGCGCTTCACCCTCCGATGGGTTACAAGCGCAAGATGGTATGATGAAGTCTTTCTGAAATGGGCCAGCCCCTGGTCATTGATCGGGCTTTTATTCACAATCCTGGTGCTTTTTGCTTCTCAAGGACGCCAGGTGGTGCATCAGATCGTCTCCGTTATCCGGGTTGCGGCCCCTCTTATTGTTTACTTCATCGTCATATTTTTCACTACTCTCCTCATCACATACAAGCTGGGTTTTGGGTATAAATTGGCGGCGACACAGAGTTTTACTGCAGCTAGCAACAACTTTGAGCTGGCCATCGCTGTCGCCGTTGTGACATTCGGAGCGGACAGCAACCAGGCTCTTGCATCTACAGTGGGGCCGCTAATCGAGGTTCCAGTGCTGTTGGGGCTTGTCTACGCTGTGAAAGCTCTGGCGCAGCGATTCGGTTGGAAAGATTGAGGGTGATGACCATAGATATGGCTTGCGCCTAGCAAGTAGGATACTTCATAATATGCTTGAAAATTCAGGACAACCAGCAAGAGAGTGAGCAAACTAGATAGTCTGCTTGAATCGCATTAATATCAAATACACTAATGCTTATTATGAAAACAATATCAGGATTAAATCTCAGACACCTGCAGTCTAGACACTACCACCTTTGATAGCATAAATCTGAAAAGAGGCTGACAAACTGTTAATGTCCTCATCTAAACAGTACTGACTTGAAAGAGAACTTACCAACCCATTCATTGAAGTCCATCTCAGTAATCTCAGTGGCCCGCTGTTTGGAAGAACCTGCTGGGCCACACCATTTACTCTGACCTAGGTAGGAGGATTGTTTATAAAGATTGAGGTCTGCGTTGGTATCCACCATCAGAATGTCTAACGTCATGTCAGTAACGGAACAGCAGTATCTGTGTGGAGGCCAAGTACGTACCTTTGAATCCTGCGCGTCCGAGATAGTCCTCATACTCCGCAAGCTGACTGGCTCCTGCAATACATCCTACATGGAGAGCAATATCGTTGACGATGTTCGCTGGGAGCTCCTTCCTCGCCAGGATGTCACTGATAGCAACCCTTCCGCCCGGCTTCAGTAAGCGAGCAATTTCTTGGAATACAGAGGGTTTATCCTTTGATGGGATAAGATTGATGACACAGTTGCTGATGATACAGTCGACACTGGCATCCGGGAGCGGGATCGAGGTGATAGAGGCCTCAATGAACCCTGTATTGGACAGACCAGCCGCTTCGGCATTTCTTTTCGCGAGATCAATCATATCCTGGCCCAGGGATTAGTTCATAGCTCCTCAAGAGGCAGAATCGCTAACCTTCGTCATGTCAATCCCGATGGCCTTTCCTTCTGGTCCAACCTTGCGAGCTGCGAGAAGAACATCGATGCCGCCTCCACTTCCGAGGTCGACAATTGTCTCTCCCTAGTTCAATTGTCCAAGTGTTAGAAGGTGTGAGTCTATGAGCACATATCAGCTATTAGGTACCTGCTTGATATTCGCATATGCCACTGGATTGCCACAACTTAATCCTAGGTTTGCTTTGTCTGGAAGAGCCCGTAGGTCTTTCGCGCTGTACCCAAATGCCAATGCGATTTCCTCTTCCTTGTCATGGTCGTGTGGGGCACCTGTGACGGACGTGTGTTTGGCAATATTCGCCATAGGTGGACTGCACTTGCTGATAGATATTTTCAGGCATCTCAAGAGCCCTGTGTGGCAATGCTTGTTGTCTGGCAACTTCAATGTTCCTGGAGAGTGGTTAGGTGAAGCGGGAAAAAAGCCGCAGGCAACCTTTGGCTTAGATTGATCCCTAACTGAGGGAGTGAACGGGTAAGAGGGTGTGAGTTTGTATTTATGTCCTCTTGCTAAAATATACAGCTGCCAAAGTCAGGAGCCCCATACACCAGAAGTGATGGGTTTATGCGCAAGCATGCTGCGAGGCAGGGCTAACTTGCCTGGTGATTGGGCAGCCGTATAACTGGTATGTCACCACTATACCCCTCCCAAAATCATCAACCAGCAAAGGGCAATACTGATATGTCACTCGCTTCGTATCTAGCTATTCACGTTGATTCTGCAATATACTTGTCAGTCTCTTATGATTCGCTATCTTCTGTCGATGACCATTTAGGAAAGATATGCACAACAGTCAAATTTCCAAACATCAATAATTGACGAGAGTAACGCAACAACTGTCATCGTGTACTGGCAACTATGAACAGATGAGAAAAGAAACCAAAGGGACTATTGTATAATTTCGGCAAGGACAGTCAGTAAAACCCAGTTATTGACCCTACAACCTTCCAGAGGAGACCTTGCTTCCCTATAGCCGTGACGGAGCTTAGTATCCAGCTCCAGCATGCTTAGATCCTTCTTATTACAGTGATGAATGATCCGAATGGCAACAGCGCAAAGGGTTGTGTCTTGTAAAATAGGATCAAGTAATCCTATGGTGATATCACCGCCGGTTGTACTTTGGTTAGCCAGAGGCGAAAGCTCAAGCAGACGGGTTTGTGATTCTCTCTCCAGCACCGTCGGTCCATAGAGATTGGAGACTGGAAAGTTCAGGCAAGTATCAAGATTTGTAGATGGCGAGGGCGTAAAACCCACACTCGAAGGCGCCGGAAGTCCAGTATCTGCAACCCCAGGTATCGTAGCGGAAAATCCAAAGCTAGGAATAACCTGACATATGTTTGGTCAGTCATCGCTTCTGCGAACGGCACCGAACACCGCTTGTGCACGCAGTGGATAGTCATACGTTCGGCAACTGCAGGGGAAATGTGCCAGCGTGCAGTTTAAGGGTGGTCGGCACTGTATCTGCCGCAAAGCTGAGACTGGTTTGTGTCTCATCTAAGATGGCTTCTTGACTCTTTTCGGCGGTATCATGCTCCAGCACATCGTAGTTGAGACCGCTGGAGGCTAGCAGGGCCCGCAGTGCCTCGTTTTCTTTGCGAAGCTTCTCTTCTGTAGCCTGCCACCTCATGTCTGCCTGAGCAGCAGCCTCCGCATAAGTTGCGACTTTGGTTTCTAGTTCGGCCACATGGTCGCGCTGCCGTTGCCGGCATTTGCGCTGGTTGTCACGGATTCGCTTGAGGTCTTCATCCTAGTATAAGTGTGAGATGCGGTAATTGATAGAGAACGGGCTGGGAGTGTTCTTGCCTTGGTCTTTCGTTTCACACGTGGCATGCTAGACAATACGGATTTGGCTATGGATTAGGACCTACCTGGAGGTTTGGATAGAATTAGAAGATGCTTGCAAGGGTGTTTGTGTGGAATAGTGAGGTGTCTGGATTGTAAGTCTGTCTGATCAGAATGATCTCCTTGTCCCACACTGCAACGCGATGATGCTCACAAGGAATCCACTTTGTCTATCGCTGACTATCGAATAGGAGCAAAGTGGTGACATACTATTGCGCCTGGCTTATTAAGTAGATTATTGGCCAATAACTAAGTCTTTTAATTGGAGGCCTTTTCCATGTCTCCTTTCCGCGTTTGATCAATCCGGAGAAAGCACAAAAAATGAAGCGCGCCAGGCACAAAGCATTACATCTATGCGGCGTGCAATTTGGTATTCATGTGCGCACCAAGAGAATGCAAGAGGACCCGAAAAGGGAGAACATAGGACAAGGCTGGTGCAGTGACTGGGTCATTATGTTTCAGTCTCTCTATACCATTATACAAGCAGCCGGGAAATGAAGGGTCGAGTGCTCCCTTCCCCAAAGATTTGTCCATGCCAGCTTGATAACATATAGATGATTATACATTCCTTCTTATCTTAATTGCTCTCTTCTCCTTCCTTTCACTGAAACAGTCACTGAAAAGGGCCGTATGAGGACGCATCAAGATTGTATACTTGATAAACTCCTCCATCCAATCTACTAGACGCTCACGGTTACTACTGGGGATGAGTCTCTGATCCGCCAGTTGGCCTTCCGGAAATTGGGCATATGCCTTGGGAATTGAGGACTGATTCGGGATTGTAAACATTTGCATCCAGCAGCCGAGGATGCGCAAAGAGTTGACCGCATTGAATGACTGTGAACCACCATACACCTGGGCGATGGCAAGCGTCCGACCTTGTGTCGGACGCACACTCCCAGTACTTAGAGGAATCGAATCAATCTGATTCTTAAAGACCGCGGTCTAATTCCCGGATGTCATAGGTAAGTAAGACTCCCCCAAGTTTGGTATGGTGAAGGGGAAACACAAAACTAACCAGGTTGTCGTGCTGTTCAGGCGAAACCCAAACTTGCCGATCACTCCACGTACTCAGCTTGCGAAGCTCCTACACTTTGGGTTGGACATGATCGGTATCATTCTCCCCGGTAGTCCTTCAGGATCGAAGACCCGAGCATCACAGCCCAGCCTGAAGAGAATTCGGCAAGCTTCAAATGCCACAAGCCGCGAGTACGATCTTCTGCGTAGCCTCCCATATAGTACTAGAACTTTAAGCCTCTCATTTGTGATTCGCAAATCATTCCCAGCCAAATCCAGGACTCTTGTCAGCTCCAGGGTACTACCCCAGTCGTCCTGGGTGCCGTCCCGAATGAATGGGCGGTACTTTGGCGAATATCAGTGTCACCTTCAGCCTCTGGGATAGCGAGAGATCGACTCTCTATAGCCCCGGGCTGTGCAAGAGTTGTGTCACATCTGAAAACCTCATTTGTAGCTAGCTGGCCGACAACAGGATAGGCCGTTGTTGTATAAGTGTGTCGCCACAAAGCTAGCCCAGAGCAGATTTCTGGGCTGTAATTAACTGTTCATGATACTCTAAAGAGAGCGTTCATCTGAGAAGGTTCGGTCTCTTATCATTAGGTAGTTGAAAAGGAGCGACTATCGAAAGCATGACAACAAGAGTGTCACTGCTAACTTATGATTGGCCAGGGTAGGATAGCTAGTGATTGGCTCTAGGTCAGTCTGTGCCCCACTCTTGCCACCCTTGTCACCGCATTAAAGTTCTTCCGGGCGGAATACTCCACCGCTTTGGTCTCTAAGAAGGGCCCCTAGTCCATGAAGCATTCTATGAACTCAACACACCTCAGAAGACCCCTACTACATTATTTAATACCTTTAACATGGTTTTCTCTGTTTATTGCTCTCGCAAATATGGGTAATAAGAGGACCGAACGCATAAAAACCACTGCAAAGGTTAGCAAGTTTTAAACGAAAGCCACGCCATTTTACGTAAGCTTTATTGGACTAATATACTTCAGGCCGACCATACCACGTCCGCGGCACGAGTCCGCGAAAACCAACGGCGCTCTCGCGCCCGGCGTCAAGAATACATACATGATCTTGAGAAACGAGTGCGCAGATTCGAGAGCCTTGGAGTAGAGGCGACACTTGAGGTTCAAGCAGCAGGAAGGAAGGTTGCGGCGGAAAATGCCCTCCTTCGGATGTTACTGAGGCGCCATGGGGTTACGCAAGAGGAGATTTCAGAATACATAAAAACACACGCAGTGGGATACACTCCATGCGATCAGTATTCAACAGAGGCACCCAGCCTGGCAATCTCGCAGTCGCCAACAACCCGAGGCGATCACCTAGTGAGCCTCAGTATTGCACAGTCAACTCCACGGCTCCATGAAGATAAAAGTTCCTCGCACGAGATGACAGTAAAGGGAATTGATCTGTCTCCCTTGTCGGATTCAACTGCCAAAAGACGGGTGGACCTTCTCGGTAACCAAACTTCCAGCGCAGAGCAACTGACTGCTCGAGGCATTGACCTTTCTGGTGCTTCCAAAATAGAGCAGCTTAGTGACAGACGATTTACAGGCCAGTCTACGCCATGTGAGACTGCAGCTAGTATCATTACGACTATGCGAGGCTACCCAGATATTCGTGAAGTGCGGTCTGAGCTGGGTTGTCATTCGGAGTCCGACTGCATGGTGAGGAACATGGACATTTTCGAGATATTGGACAAATGATGGGCCTGATCTATAGGCCGCCAACCAGAGCAAGTATGGATTTGGACATATATTGACGCATACCGCACTCAGGTAACGCCTGCCTCGCGTTCAGAAATGGAAACAGGAGCCATCCATGCAACCTTGTTGAAACCAAAATATATTTGGAACTCTCAACTCGAGGCAACTCCCACTTACAACTCAATCATCAAGCCTGCATGCCCGAAACGGCCCTTCACACTTTAGTCCGCTGCACTTCCCGCAGATGAGCCCCATTGAGGGAAAAGTGAGAGCACTGGCCGGGGTCTAACTTAGAAGTGTACTTTCCGCCTCTTGAAAGCCTTCAAAAATCTCTTCGATGGGATTGATAGAGCTTATTTAAGCTACCCAGATAAGCGTCAGTCCTATTGCCTGGTCAGTCTCAGCATCACGAGTTAATTACATATGCCCACTATATATAGGAATTGAGTGCGAAGGGTAAATCAATGATTGATATTTTCATGAAAATGGTAAGGTATATAGTAATTGTCTATGAATATGGTTTACCAGCCTTAACCCGCTGCACTGGCCCTCGACCCTGTTCATCCTGTTGGAAGACCAGCTCCAACCGCTTCTCTGCCTCCACTTCCTGAACGCTGACTAGATTTCGGAAGGTTTCTGTCTGTGAAATGCGCACACCCGTGTTCTCCAGTACCTTGGTGGGCCTTGAATTGAACGCCAAAGCTGTAAGGCTTGATATTGTGTCCCAAGCATGCGAGCTATGCCCCGTGACGAAGGTGTATACAACATAGGTAGTTGCGTATAGACAATATAAAATAAGGATCGGAATAGAGATTCTGATCGCCGTCCCATCCATATTCCATGCAAAGCCCAAAACACGAGACTGGAATGTCAGGATCAAGCTGGGGGGTTTCACCAGGTCTCCACTTGGGGTTATCCATCGGAAGTTGCCATCGTGGAGATTTTGTGCTGACATTTTGAAGGGACCTGCTGCGTGAGACATGCCATTTGCCACTAAAGAGGAAACAATGACTTCGTGCATCATAGGCCGTGATGCAGGTGAGTACGGTGAGTACAGCGGGTAGCTACCGTTGGCCGGGCACACGTTCTCAGTCAATAAGAGAGACCGAAGGAGACTGTCCGCCACCGTTCGATTCTGATAACCAATTTGGGTGGTGATGCTGTTCGCCCAATTTTTAGATATGGAGACTGCATGCGGCGGCCATGCTGGGAGAGCGTTGAGAAAATCCCCCGAGAGAAGGCTTTCCACTCGGTAGCCGAACGTCGTAGTTGACCCGTTGGTTGCAACCACCATCCGAGAAGTTATATTGGCCCACAGCCCGCTTACTGCACATGCGGACATACTGATATATTTTTGACCATTGTCGCAGAGATCCGGCTGTACGACAATGGCTCCTAGCGTTCGCTCCGTCGAAAAAGGAACATCATCCACCCAGATGACCTGCCCCTGCCCTTGATTCTGAATTTGGTCCCAGAGCTGTCGTCGGGTGATATTAGTGTAAGGTGTGGTTTCAACTCCCGAGGCATTGGTAGCAAGATAAGTTACAGGGAATTGAATGGGGCGGCTGTCATTTTTGTCCATAATCGCATTCAGCATGCAAATGGTGCTCACAAACGGATGTGCGATTCGGATGCTTGCCTCACCAGTTGTAGCTCGGTTGTTCACTACTGCAAGGGAGCCAATTACAGCTCTGTATAGGCCTGCTGCAATTGGGGCCTGCTGCACCGTAGCCACTGTGCCGTTGGGGGCAAATTGCACGTATAAGGTTCGTGTGAATGTGTCGGAGAGGGATAAAGTACGCGGAATCACAGTCAACAGGTCGACTGAGTATAGGGGTGGCATCTCCTCGACAAATGTTCCGTATCCATTCCCCAAATCCTTATGCACTACCTGCGTCCCGACCAACGTGGGCTGGTCTTGTCCCACGCTTGGAAGACCTCTGAGATATTCCCAACCAATGGCAGGAGATTGTTCGTTTTCTGAGTTGAAGACATATTTAGCCGTGCGCTTTCAACCCTTGCCAAAATCATGTATCTTACGGTTGAAAATTCCATCTTCTAAACGCGAGCCAGACTGGATAAATGCCGTTGGAAAGACATCACTGTAGGTGTGATCCAACGCTAATTGGTAGTCTGGTAGGGTGAAATTGACGGATCTGGGCAATATTGCAATAGCGCTGGCAGGCCCGACAGCAGAAGCAAGTAAGATGCTCGCAGGAACAAAAACCACAAACCCCATCTTTAGAAGCAGTGGGAACCCAGGAGTCGTCAAACTGGCGCGGAATTCAGGTGACCATAAATAGCCCACTTGTGTGGTGTGATATGCAGAGAAAATAGCTCCAAACGGCACCGCAGAGGTGGGTTGAGTGAGCAGGTATTGTTGGTAGGCGCCCAGCGCCGTCGCGATCGAGATTTGCATCAGGATCTCGTGGAATTTGGCGATGAATTGAAGTAAGTTGGACCATTGGCTATCGGTCCCAAGGAACCGTGTTTGGACGTTCAGGATGATGAGCGTTATTGCGGCTGCGAGTGGAATCATATGGAATTGAAGGAAATACCGAACAGCGGTCGATCGGTCCCGCCGTACCAGGATTTTTCGACGCTCTGCCTTTGATCGGTCCTGTCCCTCTTCCTTGATGCGTATACTGCCGTTGGAGTCAAGGCTGACTCGGTGAGGGGCTACTGGTCCATCCGACGGTGTTGGTTCTCTACAGCCTTTAGGACCGTCTCTCAAGCAAATAAAATAATTAGTCAGGGACATACTGATAGATTTCATTGGTATCCCTTGGATTCCTTGCGGAGGGCAAGTCCTGTAAAGGAATCAGGATATCATAGTGCCCCCCGTTGCCCATATTGTCTCAAGCTGGGTAGAATTTAAGGACCAAACTCACCGAGGCAGCCCCCAGCTTTTAAACATGTCCGAGGCCCCTGGTCACTGCTAAGCCACAAAGTTAAACCATGTTAGCATGTTTTATGTGGATCCTGTTAGATTACATACTATACCTCATTGAGGCTTCGATTAGAGGTGATATTTATATCTGACCAATTGGGATTGCCCAGATGAGGATTGAAAATTTCCAATAGGGGACATCGACTGGGTACGGATAGACCCGACAACCATCCTAAGTAGTTGGATTTGCTGGAGTCCCATAGAAGATTGGCACTTGGCACGTTGGCACCGATTTAATCCAAGTGGCTCTAGAAATATCACGGGGTCAGTTTGGATTCTCGATACAATATTGAATATACAAGTCTTAATCTTCGATAACAGGGCCAATTATGATGCGTTGAGATATGTTCATTCTCACTTTGCACAACATTTTGAACCTCCTCCCTAGTTGGCAGTCAATATGGGTCAACATCTCTGACAAGCCTTCCTTGTACGCTAAGCAACCGAGAACAAATCTCATAAGTTTGGTGAATTGATCCGTTCAGCCTCTGGTGGACAGCCCAGCAATGAGTTGATACCCAGCAGAGATCGGTGGAGTTGAGTACGAAGGATAGGCAAAACAACACAGAGAAGCAGCTGATCTGCATTTTGGCTACTCCGTATAATGGCCGCCATTGGTAGCGTCCTGTCAACCAGATTACCGCCCCCGGCAAGGATTTACAGTACGGATATCCTTTGGAATTCTGATTTGACCAATCAGATCGCGAGAAATGCTATCAGGTTCAACCCGCCGATATGCCTCTGATTTGCTACGTTTTATATGCTTTCTTCGATATGTTCCCTCTATACGAGTCTGCTTTCCAACCGATATCTCACATCCTGTCTATAGATGCTAGTATCTAGTGGTAGATAGGAAGAATCAGACCTTCATCCCTGTTCACTCCGTTGTATACGTTTCACCATATATATTAGCTTGGATTGGCTGACACGTCCCATTCCAACTTCCTGGATGGCGCGATTCAGCACATTTGCGGACGCGCCCAGGTCTTCACCTCGGTTCAGGGGTGTTGTTTGGGGTAGAATCATCACGGCAGATTAGGGCTTTTACATAGAGCTCCTTATGGGCTATGAAAAATCAGCTTTAAAGATAGTATATGTGAAATTGGCTTTGTGAAACTAATCTCGTGAAAGATATTAACGACTGAAAGGGCAGGTATTTCAACTATTAGAATAGATGCAATGAATCTACATTCAATTCATTTGCTATACCAATGCTTAAGAGCCTTATTCTACCAATGAACAGCCCCACCATCAAACTTCACGCCACAGTACTCTTACCGAGGGGCAAGGCTAGATATGAGCTCCTTTACCTCCTCAGGCGTTCTTTCTTTTACCCCCACAAGTCCATTATCGTCCCGTTTCCAGGGATGAGCGAGGGCAGGGGTGGCTATGCAATACTGTATCTGGACCCCAAAAGTCATGGGCGTAATGTTTCCTGACCGCAAATCCTCCATGGATTGGTCGAATAGAGGCTTCATATCCTGGTATGTTGTTCTCCAGCCACCATCCCCGAGAACCTCCTTAGCCATATTCAGAAGTTGCATCTGTGACATATAAACACTGTGCACGTAAACCGGCCGATTGCGGGTCTCGTTTGGCTTGAGCAGGGCTCCGGCTGTGGCTTTTCCGACATCCTCTAAGGTAGTCCACGGAACGATGTTCGCTCCGTCATCAAAGATCGTGGCGATTTTGTCTTTCAAAATAATACCAGCGAAGCCAGATGCAAGACACCAGTCAAGAAAGGGCCCGCAAGCTATCACTGTATAAGTCATACCCGACTCAGTGGACTTTTTAACAGCGTCGTAAAAGGCCTTTTTCCTCCCGAAAACGGGCATTTCATGAACTCCTGGTAGGTCTGGATCGAGGCCAAAATCACTGGTAATACTTCAAGGGGGTATCAGTATAAACGGATGCAATATCATACGAATCCTCAATAGCAAACAGGAACACCCGAAAGAGCGGGATGGACATACAAGCGATAAACCCCATTAGCGGCGGCCGCAGCTATGAGGCGCAGGGACGTCTCGATGTCGTCCGAATTTGTGGTATCAATAACCGCATCCTGGCCCTTGACTGCAGCTGAAATGGATTCCATTGAGCTGAAGTCGATGACTTTCTCCGTAACAGCGGTCTGCGGGGCTTTAGCGCTCCGGTTCAGCACTGTGACATTGAATCCAAGATCAACCAACGCCGTGAGGACACGAGATCCCACATTACCGGTTGCCTATTATATTGTTAGTTGAAAATATTAATGAAGTCTCATTAGCCTGTCGAACTTACCCCGGCAAGCGCCACGTTCTTGATTGTGATTGACGAGGCCATGGTCTTATGAGTAAACTGTGATGCATATCGCGCCAAATTGATTTGGAGGGTCTCTCAATTTATAAATTTTGCATTGGTAGTGGAAAGAGAAGAACAAAGACAAAAGAGTATTGAAGTTCGGCTTTAGGGGTGTACCAATGGCGAAAGGAAATAAAATAAGGCTTACTCGGATATCGACTCGGATATCGACAACACTATGTCCGAATGATGTACCTACGGAAGGCGGTTAGATATTTCTCCAATCATACCATCTCTTCTGCATCAGCACTACCTACTCTAGGCAGCAACCAATTATGTAGATCAGGTGTGAATGGTATCCTGTCATACAAATTCGTCTTTAGCCTACAGTAATCATATACAATGCATAATGCATATCTCTTTTCAGCAAGGCGTCAGGGTAATTAAAGCCTACCTACGTACCTGGCTACAATTAGTAATATTGTATTATCGGTGAGAGGTCATTCATCATTCAATAGCCAATCATATCCACTCACTGCCTGACTGCCTGACATCATTGCGGTGGTTCTATTTGTGAGAATCACGTGTCACATTGTACCCTTCAATTTATATATCTCACACCAACACTAGATGTCTCATGGTTTCCCTGCTCCATGAGTTCCTCCGCACACCTAACAAATTCCTCTCTCCTCAATCATAGAATCGTCAAAAGTTGCAATCCCTTCTTCAAACTTATCCTAGAATGAAGGTCATTGTCCTAGTTATGATAGCGTAATTGCAGGCTCATGAAGCTACATAAGCTGTGGCGCCAAGTCGCACTCATATATTGATCGACTTGATGTGATTTCTGATCCCAGTGACATTATATCTAACGGCTATGCGAAAAATGAGTAGCCACAAGTAGATCAGTCTCACATACCACACGCATTAAAGCTCTCCCTAGGCTGACCTTGCGGAAGTTTGGTTGAATTAGGAGGTAGGGACGTAGGGCAAGATCGTCCTTATGAGTACCTTTACTGGAATGAGCCTCAGTTGATGATCTCCTTCATCGGATTCCCCTCAGACTATGCTTTGTTACTGCGGCGACTGCTTCGCGGACCTTTTCTTGGAAGGTTAATGGCAGTAGCCCACCTTAAATCCTGGAAGCACTTCCTCGAGGTGCTGTCATTGCAGATATTAGAGCTAGTGTCTGTAAAGACAAGGACTTGGTAGTCGTCCGTAGCTGTCCGCGACGTGAGTGAACCTTCTGACTGTCAACGTTGTTGGTTTCATCAACTGCAGAATCCGCCGCCACCAACATCTTCAATATCAACCCTGATATTTCGGATCCTTGGCATGGTCTTGAAGGCTGAGTCGCAACCATGCAATCCTTCAACTTTCAACTTTCAAAAGCCAACATGTTCGTTGATTGTTATCAGGATAAAGGATGGCTATTGGGTAATTGTTATATGAAGACCATGTTGATGAAGCATTATATAGGTGCCTAAAACCCATGATCCCTAAGGCTGACACAAAATAGTTTCCCCTCACCCGGTACTAACTTGGAAGGTGGATAGATTGCAGGTCCACCAAGCTCCTAAGCTGATTGGTCAGGACATCAATACAGAAGATAAAATATGTAGATTTCTGCCCTAAATAAGCTACCTACCATTATAAGGGTGACCAATCAACTTAGGAGCATCCGAGCATGATTGGTAGCTTGGAGGACCTGCAATCCCATCCATACTACTTAGCACTAGGTGAGGGGATATTATTTTGTATCCGCCTTGGGGATCATGGGTGATTTAGGCACCTATATAAATACTGCATTGACATGGTCTTTATATAATATTTACCTCCCTTGACAAAGCAGAATGAGTGTTAAGAGTCGTTCGCTACATCCAATTCTCCTATTGGGAATATCAAATCATGGCTGTCCTATTCTCCGGCCTCTCCTCTCGGCGCTCGGATTCGAGTAGTGACACAACACCGACTGAACGACGGCTTTCAGATCTTTCCAACAAATCTCTACATACATACCATGAACCCAACCAGAAGGCTCCTCGCCGCTGGGTTACGAGCTTCAAATCCAGTCTCAATCCGACAATCGTGGGCAAGAAGAAAGCCAGGAGAAACCGTGTTCTTGTTGTCGTCCTGATTCTCCTTGCACTGGGTGGTATTGCTGTACTGTCAGTAATACCCTTATAACCTAAGTAAAACCCGTCCTACTGACACTTCCCAGGGTCTGGTTCTCACTTGTCCTCACATTAATTGATCGACTCACACCTACTGTCCCATCGAACGGACTACAGAGAATTGTCAAGACATGGAAAGGCCCGGCGGACTCAGTCGCCGCACTATCTCCCTGGCCTGAAGACTTCAGTCTGGGCATAACACCGGTCCAATGCCACTCTCACAATGACTATTGGCGCTCAGTGCCTCTATACGAGGCCATTGCAGCAGGCTGCACAGGCGTCGAAGCAGACATCTGGCTAGAGGGCAGCGATCTGCTCGTTGGTCACGCGAAGCGCTCTCTGTCCTCTGATCGTACATTGAAGAGCCTCTATATCGACCCGTTGATAACAATCCTCTCTAACCTAAACACCAATTCATCCGCCAACAGCTCGGTAGGCGTATTCGACTTCGACCCCACAACAAGCCTTACTCTCCTGATCGACATCAAAACCGACGGAGATGCCACGTGGCCGGTCCTCCTCAATTAATTGGCCCCTCTACGGGTTGGGGGATGGCTATCGCACTGGAACGGAACAAGCAAAACTCTTGTTCGTGGTCCTGTCACCGTCGTTGGAACCGGAAACACCGTGTTTGATTTGGTGGTCGCAGAGGAAGATCGCTATGTCTTCTTCGACGCCCCATTAAACGACCTTGCTCAGAACTCCACCTACACATTGGAAAACAGCTACTACGCCAGCGTCTCGCTGAAAAAGGCCGTCGGTGTTGTGTGGCCCTGGGGCCCAACAGACAACCAGAAACAGGCCATGCAGAAGATAATCAGCGCTGCCTCGGAGAGAGGTTTACTCTCTCGGTTCTGGAATATCCCCTCCTGGCCTGTCAGCCTGCGCATGAGGCTATGGCGGTTTCTGGTTGATAGCGGGGTCGGCATGTTGAATGTAGATGATGTCGTTGAGGCGACGAGGTGGAACTGGGACTGGTGTATTGTGGCAGGGTTGGTGTTGTGTTGATCTTTGGGGGCGTTTTACATGTACAGATGCGATAACCTGTCAATTATATGGCAAGATGTTGGTTATCACCTCATGTTGGTTACTCTAGCCAAGACACTCTAAGCCCCATTTGCTTATGAGTTATGACCTAGGTATAGATGAAGATAGTCATGATCATAATCAGTTGGATTAGACAAAATGTTCTCAACTCCTTGGCCAATATCAATAGGAAGTCAAAGAGGATATAACATCAACAACCATATTTGTTCATGATAGATCTGAATGAAGGGTTCTGCAGAAGTTGTGTTGCGGTCAGACATTTCTCTGGGAAGTAAGTAAATACTCTATTCATAATGGAGTGCACACGTTCTCGCTCAATTGGATCAGCCTCGGGACGAAAGTACGCAATTGTTGATGCAAGATTATGATTTTGATCGGGCGTTTTACACTGATCATACCAGGAATCATGAGTGTAAAGGCCCCTCCAATGTCCAGGTAGTGGACCCAAACATCTGACAATACCAGATATTATTCCACCTTTAAGCCAGGTAGGGAAAGGCGTATACCCAAGGTAAAGCTCTGCGAAGATGACCATGTAACTCCACATGTCGCAGCTAAAACTCGGATCTTTCCTATGAAGTCGGTCCGGGGAGCAGAATTGCATGGGCGGATAGCCGCGTGGAGTCATGCTGTCGCCAAGTTTCATCGCCAAACCAAAGTCACTGAGATAGAATTCCTCTGTGGGTACATTGTCAAGGACCCGAACGGGATGAACGAGCTCTCCCTGCTTCCAGAGCTCGACAAAGGGTATGATTCGCTTTAGTGGCCGGCCGAGCGCCTCGTATTTGGGACTTCTATTGAGATCGTGGAGAGAGGCATCTTGTACATTTTGGACGATTTGTCCTGCACGCGGATTTCGGTTTCTCCCCATTCTCCCGAAGACATCACTTTGAGGGCTACATCCTTCTTGTCCCGAATGTCGTGGGCCATCCAGACAGTGGACAAGCATCCAGACCCGATTTTATGCTCTACCAGGTATCTCTCATTGAGCACTTCTCCGACACAAATGGGATAGGAGACATGTGAAGTTTTCTTTATATCGTACTTATGCCAGGGCTCGACAGCCTCTTCGAGATCAAGTTCCTCGTCTTCATTGCTCACAAAGTGGCCGAAGTCTGCTGTGTCATCGCCCTTGGGGTATTGGGGTGCTGTTGCCGTTATCTGCCACTTGGGAGTGGTCCAATGTTAGACATTCCTGGCGAGTGTGTATTGATGCCAGAGGGTGTGATGGTGGGTTGTTCAGGGAGAAGGCGGGCGTGTTATCTCGGGTTTCAGGGCCACAATAAAGGCCACACGAACGCTTACAGGTAGTTGTGGGAGATATAGTACAACGAGAAGAGGTTGACGCGAGGGAAGTTGGGTCCCAAGTTACAGATGTACTCCGTACTGTACTACTATTGATATTTTGTGGTAGAAAAAGTGGTTGCCATGTCAATTTTGTCAGGTGTCCTTGAGTCCTTGACGCAGGAAGAAGACGACGCCGGCAGCCGAACCATGCGGTCTATCTCAATGAACGAATGGTCTATGACTTGGTTGAAAAGATTTCAATGAAGCAGAAGATTAAGCTATAGTATATAGTACGCGTTCTACATGTTAAGCAAAATAACCCTAAGATCATGGTTGATGATAATGTCATCTGTGATTTACAGCTCTTGCCAACCAGTCAACCTTCTCTCTATTTAGCGAGATTTCGGCATCACCACCTCTCTCCCTCTCCTTCGGAATGGAAGTGTACCTATGGCTGTAATAGCCCACCAGAGTATAAAGCTCTGTTCCTAAAGGAGGAGGAAGCCGAGGAGCTGCGAAACAATCTCCACCGCAGCAACATCTTCGTAACACCGTACACGCTCTGAACCATACCACGTTATTGCAACCGTCGATTAGGAACTGTGAGGTTCGCTTCCTGCGTACCGGCATGCCAGAAAAGCGCCCGCTGACAGGTGATGATTGGTCTAAAATTTGTCCGCCAATGGATTTGTGTCAGTTAACACTTGACCAGCACTTAGAACCCGTGGGATTACTGCACAATCGCCATTGGATGCTAAGTTAGAGGCGGCGCCACATCACTCGGGGTTTTATATAGTCATGCAAAACATAGGATTGCTTTGTTGTGAGTTTATGTCTCTGGTGACTCATGCATGTAGCATAACTTTCATACGTTAGCGAGCGGCCCTCACCGTCTCCGCCACAGACCTTTTCAACCCAAGCCGAAATCGATCCACCCGTGACATCCGGTCCAAGACGAGCGTGTCCACCTGCAGGACACTTTCACGGTAGAGGGTCTGGGATTTCCAGTCATAAGAACATAGCAGAGCTCGCTGCATGCCACCCTCACTGCCGCAGAGCAGCATTGCCACCGGTGGGCGGACGGCCCGGAATAGGGTGACGGTCAAGGTATTGGTGTCGATCAAGGTGAAGAGCTTGAGCTCTCCATACTGGGAATTCTGGGCAGCGTACACAAACTGTGCGGTGGATTGTCTGCGCGTTGGATCTTGTCCCGCGCACTCGCCGTTCTGGGCTTCATGCAGCGAGAGGTCGCTAGAATATGGACTCCACTTCAATCGGCCAAGATTGATACCGAAGATGAGTGTCTCAATCTCACCAATGTCCATGTAGCCCTCGAATCCGAACAGCCATGGCTGCGCCGCCCATGTCTTGCCAACATATAGATAGTAGATGAGATACGGAGAAGCCAACATGACTAAGATATAGAGGCCTGTAAATATCCACCCAATCATTGTGAGCAAAGTGATTCCTTTGGACAGACTGCTTGCTAGCAAAGAGACAACGCCTGTAAAGAGCCAAAGAGGAGTACTGCGAAGGACAGCTCTGGCCACCCAACGTCTCACTGTGTTGCGCATCAAAAGGTTTACCGGCTCGAAGGATTTCCAGCGTATCGGGGCACCAAAGGCACCACTTAGGATCACAGTATCTTCGCCCCCGAGACCGACGACTTGGCAAAGAGGCTCAATGTCCCAGAGATTACTGTCCCAGAAGTCGTCTATTTCATGCCAGGGTCGGTCGTTCTTTCGAGGGAGCATGCATATCAGCCGCTCAATCAGCTGATCGCTGTCGTTGGCCAAAGAGAGTCGACAAAAGGCTTCAAAAGCCGAGTCATTCTGGTTAACATTTGGGCGGCGTCGTAACAGCCCCATGAGAGCGTATGAAAGGTCTCCTGGATAGTACGCCGTGGTGTCACGATTCGGAAAGCATTGCAAGGCAACGGAGACCAGCTCCAGAGGACTGAGTATAATCGATGCTTCATAATGATCGATAAGCTGTCTTGAGACAGGAGCGTCTCCCCAGGCTTCGATCGCAAAGTTCCGCTTGGACAGAGTCCGGAAGGAATCCGGGGCACAACCACGCGTGTATATTGAAATAGGGTGCCTCGATGAGCTCAGGAGAACCTCTGGGAAGGTCCACATCCTACTTCCCAGATGACGGAGCATTTCACTTGCGTCTGGGCTAAAACCAGGAGGAGGGCCGATAATCACCACTAGGGCATGGGCACCCCGGACGACGTCGCTGATCCGGTAGACATCTTCAAATTGTTCCTCATCCTCGGGCATGCAGCTGCACGCGAGCCAATAAGCAGCGACTCCAGCTGTCCTTGTTGCAGCCTCGGCAATGCGATGAAGCTCATCCATGTCTTCATTCAACTCGTGACTGAACTGTTCGGTGGTATAGCATATGAACAAGTACTCGATGCTTCCATGCACTGCCTCCCATTCGCTGACGTTTACAATCACAATTCCTCCCTCGTCTCGAAGCAAGCACAGCTGTCTAGGACGCAGAGGTCGTTTTGATATACCGTTTGCATTTTGACGATGGGCCGACAGGATGCTAGCCCTCGATGGCTGGATCTCATGGAGATTGGCCGGGGCCTTTGAATAACCCCAGTAGTGATACTTGAACTGCTCGTAACGGCCATTGTTTCTCCTCTCACCGCCGAGATCGGCGGGAATAAATAACTATATAATGTCAGACATGCCATGCACATGGGGCTCGGAACCCATCTTACCAGAGCAGCAATGAACAAACAGGATGGAATCCACCCGAAGCACACGTCGAGCCACGAAGTGGCGACTATGGAAGTTCATTACTGACCATCTAGACCATATTTGGAAGTCAATTCTTCGATTTCGACCCTTCTGTAATCCGCATATCGCAGAGTTTCTGGATCTTCTGGTTAGTGTCAGTTCCGCTGACTTTACTGGTTATTTTCTTTTGGCGTATTTCCATCAAGCGAGTGCCGTCCCTGGATGTTCGCGACGCATTTCGTATGCGGGGGTGGTGACGGGAATATGTATATTTCAGCAGACTGCTCTCAGAAATCGAACAACCAGCATTGGGATGACAGGAACGGCCTGAGTCAAGTGAGGAAGAATAACAAGGAAAAAATTAGAGACCATAACACCAAGCCCATGATACCACTCTTCTCACTCCTCTCCTTTCATAAATTCATCCAGAATACCCATCCGCTATAAATTCGAGCTTTCGC